ACATCGATATATAAATAGTGAAAAATACACAGTTGCATTTTTCCTTTATAGGAATTAATAGTGTGACACGAGTAATTACAATCTAAATTAAATCACTAAATATTTTTCTTTTAAGTCTTCGTGTTGTGTTTGTGGATAGCAGTGCGTTGGCCAACTCATTTGGGTGTTCTTCCAGTCTGTCTTTGTGGTTAACAGCGAATCTTTTAACTTCCTCGGCTACAGTGCGCATATGTGTGTCATCATGGATCAGCCAGGTGGGAGTATATTTTGGGGCGCCTAAAACGATCCTAAGAACTTTGTTCTGAAACCTTTGAATGATGTTAGCATTACTTTTAGATGTAGTACCCCAAAGTGCTATGCCATATGTCCAAATCGGCTTAAGTACAACTTTGTATACTAGTATTTTGTTGTGTACAGAAAGATGGGATCTCCTACCCATTAACCAGTATAGTTCTCGTAACTTTTCCTCAAGCTGTTGTCTTTTCTTTTTTATGTGAATTTTCCAATTCAGTTTGCGGTCTAGATGCATGCCCAGATACTTTACGTGTTCCACCTGAGGGACTTCTATTTCATTCACAGTTACAGGTGGACATGTCTCGTGTTTGAGTGTAAAAGTGATGTGGGATGATTTCTGGCTGTTGATCTCTAGCCTCCACAGTTTGTACCATTTTTCTATTGATGTTAAGTGACTTTGAAGTTGCTCTGAAGCAGTTGTGGGATTTTCATGTTTTGAAAGAATGCAAATATCGTCAGCAAATGAGGCTATGTCTGTGTCAAGTGAGGTGGGAATGTCAGCTGTAAAAATTAAGAACAAAATTGGGCCGAGAACACTGCCTTGAGGAACGCCTGATTTTATTATTTTAATAGGTGAGTTCATGTTGATAATGTTTACGTAGAAACTTCGGTTTGATAAGTATGATTTAATTAATAGAAATAGGTCATTGGGTAAAGTATTTTTTATTTTATAAAGAAGTCCTGTATGCCAAACTTTGTCAAATGCTTGTGTGGTATCTAAGAACAGAGCTGAGCAATATTTCTTTTCTTGTAGAGTTTCGTTAATCTTATGCACCAATCTATGGGTTTGTTCAATCGTTGAATGCATCTTTCTAAAACCGAACTGATGACAAGGAATTGTATTATTATTGTTCAATGTGACAAGAATTCTTTTAAGCAGCAATCTTTCAAATATTTTGGAAAGGAGGGGTAAAAGACTTATTGGTCGATATGATGTTGTATAGGATTTAATTATGTCTAACGACCATTTTTGACCGCTTTTGACGGCATTTTTTAAATTGTTTTTTTAGATCGCCGAACTGGCTGGTTTTCCAAAAATATAATCAATTATTTATTCCGTCGTTTAAAACGTTTTTTGAATAATTCGAATCGAACAGTTGTTTGCCCAAAACATTGTTGTGCAAATGAAAAAAAAAAATGATGTATACGAACTGTTTTTTAATAAAAATATTTTATATCAAGAAGGTCCAAAAAAACTTTATTCTCATTTCGATTTAAGATTATATAATTAAAAATCAAATATCTTATTTCTTCCCTATTCATGAATATATTGGTATATATCAATATTTTATTATTTATGTATCAAAGTATCGAAAATAATAATTGATTTAAATTGAGAAATCGCAAATGCGTATATTCATTTGTCAAAAATTGCATTAACACATCAACAACAACTGCTTGATAAATAATCAGTTTCAGAATGAAATACGATATACACATCTTTTAGTCACGGTTTCTAACGTGTATTGTTATCAGCTTTTTATTGTGATAGCAGCAATTTGATATCGCAGATATTAGTTTTCGTTTATTTAGCACCTAAATACCTCAGCGGCTGCAAAATACAGGCGTGTCCTTATCTGAATTAAAACATCATCGGATGGGGAAGTACGGGTTTGCATAATTTCAATAATGGCTGGTCCAATGACACTGGCAAAAAAATACGACGTTGCGATTTTAAAAAACGATGCTTTTTCATATTATTTAATTGCAAACATTATTCAAATCTAATGTCATGGTTGAATTTAATAATCAAATTTAAATGACGGCTGTTAGAATGATATCAGGCTAACAATTCTCAACTCTTGAATAGCAAGGATTTAAACTGATTGTGAGTAATGTCGGGATTGGAAAAAATAATATAAGCTGAACAAAAAAAATACATGATAAAAAAAATCTGGATAAAATTCTTGGTCTAAGTCCAATATCTTGGCGAAGTCTTGTTGCTACTTCTAAAGCTAACAGCAAATAAGTTCATATATAACTTTTGAAAAAATTGTTATATAGATCTTCAACATAGAAACAATTGCTTTCACTTTATTTGTTATACACTAAAGTGCCGAATTCGTCCTACAAAGCGAAACTAAGTTTTCTAACTTTACATGACACTCGTTCAGTTTAAATCGGTCTCTATTAAAAATAAAGATTAACTAGTGGAGCATTGTCCCATAAGGTAAGATGACCATATTTTTTTGCATTAAATCCGGGAGCGAAAAACTTATATTCACATTTTTTCGGTTCAAATTTCCAATCAATTCAATTTGTTCAAATATTGGCAATCAAAACATTTTTAAAAATCCGGGACAATCCCGGACAAATATTGCTTTTTGGAAAAGCAGGGACGCAAGGCGGAAAATCGGGACTGTCCCGGCCAATCCGGAACATATGGTCACCTTACTTAAGGCAAATTGCTGAAACTTTCCGCGTTGAAAATTTGAAAAAAATAGATTATTGAGAATTTTGAAATTTTTGAAAGAATTTGACTTTTTTTAATTTGAAATTTCTGAAAATTGTCAACTTTTTTCTAAAGTAATTGCGCTTCATTAGTTGCGTAGAGACAAAGATCAAATCGCGTAAACGCCGCGTCACAGTTTAAATGATGAGCGGAACCCATAGAATTGTAATCCCAATTTGTACTTATTATTAAAATATCTATAAAATACCTGATAATTTGACGTGCATGCGGCTAATAATCATTTTTGTCCGCCAAATGGAATCGAAACCGCTAGACCTGCCTTCCTAAAAATTCAATCAGTTCTTCATTATGCCAATACAAGTGAAATGTTTTTTGAATTATTGAAAACGGACGCTCCGTTCTGTCAAAAACTGAATTACCATTTATGACACTTTTTGCCCCGTACCTTCAAAACGGCTGGACCTGCTTTTGCTAAAAACTAATCAGCACGTCTCCTTATGAATCTATTCATAAGGAGACGTGCTTCGATTCCTGGAATCGAATGTTTTTGAATCATTGAAATCGGTTGATTCATGTTCTCGAAATCGTCGACGAAATGTTGTATCCGCACATTCATACACACACACACATACATCAGTTTTTTTTAAGATATGCCAAAATGTTCAGAAAACTTTAAAACGTGAAGAAAAATAAAAATTTACATTTTTGATTTTTTGCGATTACTATAACTTACCCTACGGGAAGTTAACAAGATACTACAAAATGATATAGCATTTAATAAAAGACAATGAATTAATATCGTATATGAAGTGGTCAATGTACAATTGAGTTTAGTGCTTGACTGCATTCGTTTCATAACGGTAAGATATTTTGCCAGACAAGTCGATCACTCGCTCGTCAAACGGGTCTGAGTAATATAAGAATGGCTGTACTTGCAGCTTCTTACGTTTTGTTAAAGAGAATTGCATGCAAGTGTGAACAATATATTGGTCTTGTAGGGAAAAATGAGTTAGCACCATCTGAAAGCGATGAAAAAACATTTTTGCTAAATTGAAATGCGTCTTAGATTTACGATATGATTTTATAGTATACGAATGAATTCACATCAGCAACGAGTAAAGCTGGTTTTGCTCTCGGAAGGCACAAACAATTTACGTAAGCGCACAATTACTATCGACGCACTTAAAATTGTCATTTGCTGATATGGTTTTCTTAGAACACTTAAATTGAGGATTTGAAAACACATTAGATGCTAAATTTAAAACTCTGACAGACTAATTTATATTTTTATCAACAAAGTCAGCGATGCACCGCGAAAATAAAATTTAAATTTTTAACGTCTAAACGAGCTAAATCATTTAAATAGCAAACTATAGGTGTGGCATCGTGTTTTAAAGCAAATTGCTGAAAATTCCCGTGCTGTAATGAAATATTCCAAGAATATTAAATGTTTTCAAATATATTATTATAAATACTGTAACTTTCATTATTCGTATTTTATAGACAAAATATAAGAGCTTATAAATTGGAATATGACAGTTATTTAAGTTGTTTATATAAGTTATATGAAAAGTATATAAACAAAACTTAATGATACCCTTCAAAGCAGAGTTAGAATGAAGGATCTTGTCTCATATTTCTAACAATTATATAAACTGAATTGCAAAGTTAAAATTATTTATTTCAAGTAAAATTTTATCTAGATTAAAAATAAAATCCAAATTATTCTCGTTACATAAAAAAGTTATTTTTTGGAAACTAAAAAAAATAGAAAAACATGGTTTCCCCAAAAACAATCACATTGTCAATAAAACCAAATCTTTGAATCATTCAAATCGGATGCTACCTTCTCTCAAAAACTGCCATTATTTGTACATTTAGCTCCGTATCTCCGAAACGACTGGATATGTCTTTGTCAAAAACTATTCACCACTTCTCTCGATCATTATAAATTGAATGTTTTTTGAATCATTCAAATCGGATTCAAATGGTTTATTCGTGCGTTCGCAATCGTGAACGACAAATTGTATTCATACATACATACATACGAAGAAATGTAAAAATGTTCAATTTCGATTTTTTGACGATTACAATTACTTACCCTACGGGAAGTTAATAATCGTGTAAAGCAAAATATATAGATTATCAATATCAACGTTCCAACGTAATTGACAGAAAATAAATCATATTAATTTAAATACTTTACATTTTTCACATATTTTGTGTACATATTAATATATAAAATAAACTAACATAGTTAAAAATAATTTCAATACAAAAATATTTGGCTTATGATTAGAAACAGCTTATAAAGGTCGTCTTTTTCTAAATTTGATTTTGATGGGATGATCCGTGCGAAGAATAATATCGATCACAAATATTAAATCCTTTGGTTTAGTTATCGCCTCCAACGTATAATGACGCAAAATCGTCGAAACCACAGACTTGAGCTCCAGCATAGCGAATTTTTGACCTAAAAATAAACAATTCATACATATGTTAACATCAATCATATGATTAGGTACTATTTATTTTGACATGAGGAAACTGTATTCAAAAAAGTTTGGGTGTGGGTGCCTTTTGGAAATATATATTTTATTTCATGTTCATGTGAATATGAATATTGCACTGCATGGTGCAGTCTGCATAATGGTCAGTATCCACTCGGCTACTTTTTGGCTATTATAAAATTATAATATTCTTTGAGATAAAAAATAATTCATCTCTTATGTCACAGAGTATGACCAAGAACCCCTTCAAAAAGAAATACAATCCTTCTATATAATAATATCATATACGATACTGAACCAATTAATCAACTCGTACGTCAGAGGAAGAGGAGATAGTCCTTCAGCCTGTTACGGCGGCCATCAGCTGATTGTATGCATTTTAGTCGGATCCTTAATCTTGTCACCTATACAATTCTTTGATTTTTTTTTCATATTTTATTTTTATATTTTTTTATTTATACAATGTCGACCGTTATGCACATCGCGCACAATGGGAGAGCTGACCGAGGCCGTCGAGGGTTTTAAATTGTATTCATGTGTGTACACATAGGGTTACGTACAAAGACTTATTATTATATACCAATAATATTTATTTCAGTTTAAATGACTCCGGTTCAAATATTGTCTAACGAGATGTGTCGAGAGTGTGAAAGTACGCGTCAGAAAGAAAAAATCGCGACGGGAATGGATCGCCATTTCGACCTCGTCCCTAGTAATTCTTAGCCACTAATAGACCCCTATTCTTATAAACTAATGGTGTTGTATTATCGATCGGTAATTCCAATTCTTCAAAATTTAAATTTTAATATAATGCATATAATAGATTTGTTTTCATTATAGATTACCCGACTCATTAGTAGTTAGTTGGATTTGGAAATCTTCAAATGTTTAAAAGGGAAGTTTGATGGAAATAACAGACTTGAAGGTAATAATGGAAGAAAAAAAGATATAATGTATTAATCACGGAATACAATTGAGTTCTATAACAGTGAATAAAAATTGCAATCTTTTAATCGATCAATATACACACAACCATACACACCTATAACTTAAAGTGTTTTCAATTATAATTTTAAGTCAAGGTTTTTTTAATTCAATCCTTCATAATTTCTGAAAAATATTCAATATCCCCGAAACGTAAAAATAATTAGAAATAAAATAATTTTTTTGATTAGTTCAGAAAAATATAATCTAAATTAAAAGTGATGAAAAATAAACAATCACATAGGCATTTTTGGAATTTTTGAATAAAAACTATCAAGAGTTTGGCAATTATATAGGCAAAACTGGGTATGGTTGTGCCACTTTTTTCGATATGCAATAATTTTAATGATATTCTAGTTTAAAAATTTGTCTATGTAAAAATACTAAAATACAATGACCTTAAATACGATGGATTTGTCATGAAACCAAGTGATACAAGAAAAGAGCGATTATCACAACCGTCCACATCCGAGGGACGGTTGTGGCAGGCATAAAAATAGATTTAAAAACAGTAGATCTAAGCACAAAAAATGATTAATAACATTTTTTTGTAGTTAATAACAATAATATGTAACAAATTACAACATAAACATTTAAAAAAGCTTATGAATAAAATTTAACAATATATAACACAACATAATTGTTTAAGTGAAGTTAACAAGAATTCTATGTGAAATCTTTTTCTTTCTTGTATTGAATTTTCCTTTTCTTTTCTTTTTAGTATTTTGTATTGGTTAAGTTAGATTTTTTTTTATCTGTTTAATCTTTACTCGAGAATTTTTGTCAACGCACACATTTGTCACAACCGTACTCAACGCACACATTTGAAAACAAATCATCATTATGACTGAGCTAAAATATCTTAGCAAAAACTAATTGCTGGTAAATAACTTACAGTAAAATAACAAACACAGTGATATACATTTAACAGGGTAACTACAGTATCCTGGCACAACCGTACCTAGTCTCTCTTACTTGTTTGTGAGATAGAGTTTGATATTGTGAAAGAATTTTGTATAATTCAGATAATTTAAAAACTCATTTTTCATATTTATTCAAAAATAAAATTATTATTTTATATTACACAGTCTATATTAAATCGGCGGTTCCATTTATCAACGCCACCTAATATTTACGAAAGTGATATAATATTATGTACGTAATAAAACGATTGTTAAGTTTTATAGATTAGTTATGACATAAAACCGAATCAAATTAGATCGTAATTTATATTTGCCGATCATTGATATTTATAGCGTTTCATGTTTATATTCTGATTTAATAGTCTGATTTAATAACCTTTTTATACAAGTCGGCGAAAAGAGATTTTGAGATTTTTTTTAATACATTGATTATACAAAAATGCTTGTCAATTATTTATGACGATTTTATATTTTTATATACCTATGCAGTTGCGCGGTCCTGCACTGAAAGGAATGTATGCGAAAGGATGTCTTTTGGCACACTCTTCTGGTAAAAATCTGTCAGGATCGAACATTTCCGGATTCGGGTATATATCTGGATCCCGATGTAAGTCAAATATGTGAACATTTATTATTTGACCGGCCGGTATCCTGCAATCAACTGTAAGAAAAACGTAACAAAATTAATAATTGTTCAATATTTATTCTTTAGTTTCCTAGGTTCTCAAAAAACATATACTTAAACACCTTTTGTAAATTGTAAGAAGGCGGGGCAGTAGATTTAGATTAGGAACAAGGAGTTTTCAAATAGTAGAATAAGAGAAAAATTTACTAGATTCGATTAGAATCTATGTAAATATATGTCCAATGAAAATTGAACTCACATTGCAAAGGTAAAATGAAAAAAGAATCAGAATGATAAAATAAAATATAATCGACATTTTACAGGAGTAGGAGAAATACGGAATTTAAAGTTGAGGCACAGAAATAATAAAAATAAAAGCAGATGTTTAAGGAAAAAGTCTGCTCTAGAGGCTTAAAAAAGCGTTTTTTTGCAAAAATGTCTTCCAAAACTAGCCAAGAATATATTCCTAAAATTTCAGAAACAAATTTATATTATTTTTGGAATTACAGAAGAAATAGTCAAGCATGTATACAAGCAGAAAGAAAATTTCGACGCGCGATTCCTCGGTTTTTAATGTTTTTGATTATTCCTAATTGGCGGAAAAGATAGGAAAAAAACGAAGCGTCCTTTCGAAACGAGACAAAACTCATTGTATTCAGGATTAAATTCTATCCTAGTTGATCCTAAAAAAATCTAAAAAAAGTTTTAATTAACTTACTTTTTAAACTATCTAAAGTAAAATTTTGTATCAATTTCTAGGTTTTCTGGATTTTTTAGGTTCAACTAGAATCTATACTATTGAAAATATATTGGGTTGGGGAAAAAGAAATCCATTATTTTTACGTGAACTTCAAGACTTTATTTAACATGTTTTGCATTGTCCGATTTAGGTCAAATATGCACCATTTTGTTCTATAATTTGTTGCCATTTTAATGGCAGCTTCATTATGCCTCTCTCATAAAAGTCTTGGTCCTTATTAGCGAAAAACTCCAGCAATTGATTTTCACACTCTTCCCTTGATGCCAATTTCTTATCACTTAAAAAAGTTTTGCAATGCAAGAAAAAGATGGTAATCGCTTGGTGCGAGGTCCGGACTGTATGGTGGATGCATCAAAACTTCCCAACCAGCTCCTGGAGTTTCTGACGAGTCACTATAGAAGTGTGTGGCCTGGCGTTGTCCTGATGGAACACGACACCTCTTCTGTTGACCAATTCTGGACGTTTCTGGTCTTTGACCACGATCGCTTTCGCATAACCATACAGTCCGGACCTCGCACCAAGCGATTACCATCTTTTTCTTGCATTGCAAAACTTTTTTAGTGATAAGAAATTGGCCTCAAGGGAAGAGTGTGAAAATCAATTGCTGGAGTTTTTCGCTAATAAGGACCAAGACTTTTATGAAAGAGGCATAATGAAGCTGCCATTAAAATGACAACAAGTTATAGAACAAAATGGTGCATATTTGACCTATATCGGACAATGCAAAACATGTTAAATAAAATCTTAAAGTTCACGTAAAAATAATGGATTTCTTTTTCCCCAACCCAATATATTTGTTTTGATTTTTTGTTTCGGATGGAAATTGTGATGTGCATCTTTTCCCTGCACGCTCGTCGCGCATCGGCAAAATGCTTGTACCCGGCACATTATGACATATATTTTATTGAAAAAAATTGAGAAAAATGTTGAAATATATAGTAATAAAACCTGAAAGTTTCGTTTCAATTATAATTATTTATAATTATATAAATATATTAATATTTATTTCCTTCCCTAAAAACTCTTCAAAAAAAGTGATTTTCTGAAGCCTATAGAGCAGGCTCTCCCCGTAAATTCATGAAAATATTGCGTTCTCACACCATGAACCTCCCTTTGGTCAGAGCATTAATATATAATTATTACCTAAATCTAATGGTTCAGTTAAATCTCTTGAAATAAAAGGAACACTTGGATAAAGCCTTAAAGTCTCTTTAATGCACCTATCTAAATAAGTCAATTTTTGCAAATCCTGAATTGTTGCCGGCATTTCATCTTCTCCAAATACTTCTGCAATTTCTTCATAAGCTTTGCGCTAAAAAAATAAGTATTAACGAAACAAAATCTTAACATAATAAATAGTTTGCATTTCAAATTTGTAAACCTGAACATCGGGATTATCCGCCAACGATAGTAGTGTGAAAATTAAACCCATTGACGTTGTATCATGTCCCTACAAAAAATTATTAGTTTTAAACGAAATTCGAAAAATACCAAAAATAATATTTAATCCATAAATCGGATAAGTTGCATCTCAAACTTACTTCAAAAGTAAACGTGTCAACTTCTTCGTGAATTCCATTTTCATCAATATTTTCGCCACGTGCTTCAGCAGATAGTAGCAAATCCAACATAGCCATTCTTTTCTTAACGTGGAACTCATCTTTGTCTTCATCATCACTTGTTTTTGCATTCAATGATACATTTGTCATCAATTTCTTTTTTCTATCAGTTATGATACCTTTAGTGAATGAATGCAAATTTTTGAGAACTTTTCTCATTTGGTAGCCCATGGGCGTTAAGTTGTAGATCACGGCTGGATGAAGCCAATATCTTTGAAGACGATACACGAATAACTGACTCCACCTTGACGAACCAGATATATATTTTTTAATAATTCAAGGAAAAATCAATACATTGTCAAATTAAATTTTAAACATTATATAGCTAAGGACAAAGACACAAATAAATATATTCAAGAGCCATATTCGATTAAATCACATTGTCCTAATTGCTTTCAAATACATATAGTGTAGAAGCTTCTTATTCGCGGGGGATACGTTCCATAAAAATGCCGCGAATAAAGAATCCGCAAATCCAGGATGGCATTTTATATGGGATTATAGGGGATACAAATGCAAATAATAAAAAAATACGCAAATGCAGGATGGTATTTTGCATGGTGTTATGAGAAATACGTTCCAAGGTGACAAAATAAATGTGACAAATATAGTTGTAATGTAATATGCAATATCTTGAGTATGCCAGCTCCCCTATCAAAATTAGTTAATAATAAGTTTAGTATCAAATTTAACATTAATATATAACTTTATATTAATTACAATAATATATTCTTAATATAAGGGTCAATTTATAAAAGTTTTATATTAATATTATATATGGTACTAAACATTTTACCGATTAATTTTAATATGACATCTGTTATACTCAACAATATATTAAAAACTAATTTTTAATTATAGTTTTTGTACATTTTGCTTATTTATGTTCAGACTAAGGCAATGGTTTGAAAAATTTTGTAATATTGTCTTCCTCGGCAGTTTTTAACTGCTTCCGTATTGTAAACTGATAATTTGCCCCTTAAAAATAAGACTTTGGCCGCGAATAGTTAAAACGCGAATGCAGTAAGCGCAAATAAGGAACTTTTGTTGTATTATAGAAATTTACCTGAAAATTGAGCACTTGTAGTCAATAGAATCAGAGTCAATGACAGCTTTTAAATTTGTTCCCATTGCAGTTTCTACAAGTAAATATAAAAACATGTTCTAAATAAACAGAGATTATCAAAATTATTTTTTATTTATTGAACCTTGTAAAATAAACTACCATAGATCTAACTGATAATTGTGAATAAGTTTTAAAACTAACTTCGTCAATTAGCCGAGAAAAAACTAAACGTCGAATTATAAGTAAGTGATCTATTTTTTTAAAGAAATAATTATATCTTTTATATTTAAAACATGTAGACTAACAAAATGAACACAATGTATCTGGTGCATTTTCTCTGCTGGATTAAATTACTGAATTTTGAATGAGATAAAAATATTTTTAACGTTCTTTAAGGTAAGTTATAGTATTCGTAAAAAAATCGAAAATAAAATTTTTTATATACCTTTACGTTTCAAAGGTTTATGGACATGATGTCGACGTCGACGATTTTGGGAACACGGATCAACCGATTTGAATGATTCAAAAAAAACATTCAAATGGTATTAGATGGAAACGTGCTAATTAGTTTTTGGCAAAGGTAGGTTCAACCGTTCGAAGATACGGGGCAAAAAGTGCCAAAAATTGTAATTCAGTCTTTGAGAGAACGGATTTGAACAATTCAAAAAACATTTGTACTGTTTAAATTTTTGCAGGCAGGTTGGCAGATCCAGCGGTTTCGGGAATCCAATAAAAAAGTAAAATAAATTTCATTTGGAGATCAAAGAAGCTCATTAGAAATGTGCACATCAAATTATCAGAAACTTTATGGAGATTTTAATAATAAGTACACTTTTTTATATTTCTATGGTTTCTGTACCAATATTATTCTGTTAGTCTGCGACGCAGCGCTTACGCGCATCGAAATTTCGTCGTTTTGACAGCCACGCAGTACAATTGCTTTGAAAAAGAGTTTAAAATATTCTAGAAATTTTAAGATATAAATAAAAAATTTAAGTTTTGAAATTTGTTATAAAATTCAACAAATTAAAAAAAGGTATTTTTTTCAAAATTTTCAGAAAGATAATTTTTTAGTTTTCAAAAATTTTTAGTTTTTTTGTTTAATTTAATTTTTCGTAACGGGTTAGTTCCAGCATGGGACTTGCGTTATTATATATACATATGTATTTTTTGCGATCTTTTTCGTGAAAAAGCGGCATAAAAGTAATTAATTATAAATAGTTTATTTAATTAACAGTTTTTCTGAATTTTACTAACTATATTTTATCATTTGTAAGAGTCGATCTCTGCCCTCACATATTACTTTCTGAAATTTTATAGTCTTAATGTTAATTATGCTTCCATTTTTATGACTAGGGCTAGGGTCGATAATAATTCCGAGTTAAGGGTGAAGTATAAATAAAGTTGTGTGCAGATTTAAACTATTAAAATATGTTTTTATTAAAGAAATTGATGATTTCACGTAAGCATATGTGGTTTTACTTAATTGAAATTTCATTCCATTTGGTTCTGGTAGATGGCGCAACGTAATTTGTAGATTAAACTTTATTTCAATTTCTAAATTTCGTTAATTTCGTTCGTTGTTTTATTAGAATTGATACTAAAAACTACATACCGCATATATTATTCAATGCGACATCAGCCATTATTGAGTTGACGTCCGTTGAGTCCTTTTGGCATTCGATTTCCATTGGGAAACAAGGCGTTTTCTATGTTCTCCAAAAACTTGAACAAACTGCTGCAATATATTAAAATGAAACGCAGGCGTCAGGATTTTTCTTCTGCTTTGGCCATTTCGAACCTACAAAACAATTAACAGAATTTATATGATTTTAATAATGGGT